ATCACTTTTTTCTCTGCTTCTGAGTGCTGTTATTAAAAGTGTGCATCCTCATGTCTGGATCAAAAAAATTTTTTTTGTTTGTGAGGCAAGATCTCATGTAGCCTGGGCTGGCCAGGAATGGTGCCACACACCTTTAATGTAGATCTTTGTGAATTTGAGGCCACCCTGGTCTACATAGGGAGTTCCAGGGCAGCCGGGGCTACACAGTGAGATTTTGTCTTAAAAAAAAAAAAAGTCACATATGAGGAAAATAAACTCACCCAAAATCAGATTTTTCAAATACTACAGGGAATTACTATTTATCAGCTGCAGGAGTCACAGCAAACAGCATTATTAAATTCCCACACATAAATTTAGAGGGATCATTTTACATTTTCTATCTTAATAATGCTATTTGAAAATAGAAGCACACCTACACATTTTAAAAAATTGTAACAAGGAAGAAAATACACTTAGGACGCTTAATACACTTAATACACAACGGTTTGGTTTAAGTATCTTACCAGAACATTTCAGCCTTTTTTGAAATCTGGAATCTTCTATGTCTTGTCCCATCACCATCTCATCTACCTCTCAAATCCCAATTCTTAGAAATGCTTAAGACTTAGCTCTTTTTTTTTTTTTTTTTTAAGTATTTACAATGTGTAATGAAACCAGTCTGTGATCTCATATACCACCAGTAAGTGTCACTGGACAGTTACATGACATATTCCTAACTGAATATAGTAGAGATTCTATAAAATGAAGGCAAATAAAATTTTTATCCATTTTTCATCATTTGTAGAAGCATTAGAAAAAGATCTAGGGGGAAAGTTAATATACAAAATGAAAAACAAGGCAATTTCAACAGAATTATTTTATGAAAAGTGTATGAAATACATCTGACATAGGAAGCACACACATGCAAACAATTAGGTGGGAGCTCACCTGCAGAACAACACATGTGATGGTGTCAGACAGGGGACATGTTTGAGGACACTACTGGAAGAGTCTCCAGTCTGTGTTGGGTTTGTCTGTTCCTGATGGAGTGACACCTGCCTTAACTGTTAACTCGATTTTTCTGATCAGCAATCAAAAGAAACATTGCTTTTTCATATTTGAGAAATCCACAGAGACTCAGGAACTGGAGGCTTACAATAAATGGAAACATTCTTAGCTGACTGTCTAAATATGTTAAGCAGACTTTTATATACCTGAAGGTCAAGAAGAAGGTATTTTTAAACTTGCTTTGTGTTTAGATGGATAGCTTTAGAAAGGAAGAGCAAGTAACACGTATTCTTTAACACTGTGTGTTGGAGAACAAACATCAGTAGAATAACAAGATGGAAGAAAGCAAGGCAGATTTCATTACGGTGGAGTGCCTACACTTCCTCATAACTTGGATTTACACACTGCAAATCCTCTGATCTGATTACCTCCAGTGATCACGTAAAATACCAGCTTTAAACTCTTTGCCTTAGTGATAAAACAGCCACTTTGATTCACAACAAGACATTCACAATAAAGTATATTGTAAACGTACCTGTCCACAGCCCGGGGCATTGCACACAAACGGTCTGTCGTCTCCCATATTTCATAAAGCAGAGCAGAGCTGAGGGGGGAAGGAGTAGGGGAAAAGTTATGTTAAATACGCTGGAGAAAAAAAATGGGCTTCAAAAATATCAAGCCTAGAAACAGGTGTTCCAAGAATGCCATCTATCAAAGCTGTAAACACAGGCTACTTTGGGGAGAATCATTAGACAGGTGGCATATGATCTACTGTGCCTCAATTGAAACTTTTAATTAGGAAAATTCAGACTCAAATAGTCCAGGAATTTTAAGCCTTTGCTGGGTTTTCCCTCTTTCTGTTACAGTATATAACACATTTCTCCAGTCTACTGAATTACAACCAGTGCGGCTCTCTGTGTCAATAAATTCACCGAACGCTCGATGCGGAAGCCATATTTCTGAACTAGAGAAGACCAAAATTTGTCATTTAATTAATTAAGGGATTATAGGAGGGGTGCTCCATTTTACAGGGCTATAATCTGGCTCCCTGGTGTATAAACTACGAGACTGCTGGCAAGGGTCGTTTATCCCAGATTATTGCCAAAGAAAACAAAGCACCCATCCTATTGGACTACATGGGAAATTATTTTCATTAATAAAAAAATAAAAATAAAAACTTCCCCTCCCCACTGGGAGCCTCTTCTTCCTCCCCCCACCAATCGTCTGTGGCAAATGAAGAAATATCAGTGCCCTTCCCCCTCTGGTTCTATTTATGGCTAGGTTTTTAAAAGCAGCAATAAAACAAATGTCGACTCCTTGGGGTTTACTGGGTGAATATGTTCCGGCTGTTTGTGCTGCTCTCGGCCAGAGTTCTTGGGCTGCTCTGCTGCAGCCAACAGATGTGTGCTGCTGCAGGGGATCAAAGAAATGCACTTAAAGGCACCACCATCCACCCCCCCATTTCTCTAAAGAATTTAACAGAATTTATACTGTTTTTTTAAATGACTAAAGCTAATCTCTTGAACTGTCTATCAAAATTCTTTGTCAAACAACAAATGCAATCTGAATGTGTCGGGGAAATTTCTCATATTCCAACTAAGAACGAAAACCAGGCAGAAATGAATAATGACTAGAAATGCAAATCACAGTAAAAATATCCTGAAAATATATAAACAATACTTTGGAAGGGTCAAAGAGAAAAGTGGGAGGGAGGATAAAAGCAGTCTTATAGAACAAGGTTCTAAGGACATTTCACACGACTATCCACAACACAGAACAATACATCAAAGAATGTGGACAAGGAAGATCAGTGAGGGATGATCGTTGAACTACATCTGGAAATAACTTCAGAACTGTAACCAAATCTCAAATTTCATACTGGAGATAAACCAAAATGTCAGCTCAATCTCAGTCAGGCCTGCATTAAAATAAAATGCTAACATGCTAGAATGAATCTAGTAACAGAAAACCCAGCTTAAAATAGAGGGCAATAAGGTAATATCTTTCCTATTCTCTTAGGAATTACATTTGGGTTAGAAACCAGTATTTCTGGTTATATAATCAGTAATTCCACAACTAATCGGTGTTTAAAGGTGTGAGGTGCCCCATAAAACAGAAGGGGCTGCTTGGTCATCTTTCAATGTGATGGGGACACGGTCTAACTATGAAGGAAACTGATGCTTCAGTCCTGCTGTAATGGAATAGACGCTGTATGTACATACGTATACACAGATTTATACCACATTTAGCCAGGATAAATTGCTTCAATAAATTCTGCTCCTAGGAGAGGCCAGCTCAAGCCGATGATTGGGTACTGGGAAATGAGAGCTTCATTCTTCCTCACATAGCCCCAGGACAACAAGGTTTTCTGGTTGGTTGGTTTGTTTTAAACACATTTAAAAAAAACAAACAAATAAATTATTTTTTAGTACTTTCCAGAACAATAACACATTATCAAAAATAAGTAAATAAAAGCAAATAAATATAAAAACTATGATCATTATGGCTGAAAACGCAGATCATCTTTGGAAAGCAAATCATTCCTATATGGGAATCCCTAACTGCTGTGCTGTTGATCATTTCACTCCTACCTCCAGAACTTGTTTTCCTAACATAACCACAGATCAGAACTTGGCTTGAAGGGTTCTTTGTGTCTACTTCTATCAAGGTAGACGTGGACAAAAGAATTAGACAGAAGTCCTTACTTTTATATTGATTCTGGTACTTAGGGCTAAATTTTCTCCTTATTGATTATTAGAAGGAAAAGGTTCTTTCTGGTAAGATAGGGGAGTAGAAAGTGATTACATAAATTCTGGAACAATTTTCATCAAGCCACAAATTTCAAACCTTCAAAAAATGAGGATGATTATAATTTGGAATCTTTATTAAGAATTGTATAATAACAAAATTGTGCCTTGCTAAAAAAGAAAAAGAAAAACTTTGGGAGAAAAAGCATTAAAACCTAACAGAAGTAAGCTTTTCTTTGGTCTTGAATGTTAAACTGGCAGCCACTAATAGGATTTCCTGCTTCTGTCCCAATTTGTAAGCCTTTGTTTTACCATTTTTACCAAACAGAGATCACAATGGGAGGAAGAAGTCTTTCTTTAAATGCCTAGTTATTCTTAAATCATCTCCTATTCTCAGGTCCCTTGTCATTTCCATCATTTTTGCATCCAAGAAAATTTAAATATTTAACAATTAAGAATAATCTCTCTCTCCATTTAAAAATTTCCACTCACACCTTTTTAATTCTTCCTTCATTCTCCATCTGCTACATCAGTTGTGACACGCAAAGAATGCTTTTGGTTATTTCTATATGACAAACAAAAAGCAACACATTTCTATAGTATGAACAGATGGAGACAAAAAGTGAAATCTTGAATGATGCTGCTGCCACTCAATGTGAACTTAACTCATAGCTCATCTGTAATTCTACTGCTTGACAAGCAGATCATGTGTCTAGGCATGACACTCACAGTGTATTGTCTCCTTCCTGATCTATTTTTTAGATGAAATGTAAGAACTTTATAGGACTAAACGATAAATGATGAGAGGAATATACAAAATGAGAGATACTACCAAGAGTAAGTGAGATGCCTAAAACAAGAAAACAAAGATGCATTAAAAGGCTGTCCTTAGATGCCTAGGTCTACAGGGAAAAGGCTCATGTACTCAGAGCAACCAAATACGTAAATGATACAATTAGCATTTGCCTAAAAGTGAAACTCATCTGAATGCTGAAGACTAATTAAGAAAAATCAAGGTTTAGGGCCAGTGAGATGGTCCAGCAAGTAGAAGTACTTAATCTGAACTCAATCCCTAAAACTCAAAGGTAGATGGAAAGAATCAACTCCTGAAAGTTGTCCTCTGACCACCATATGCACACTATGGACATCCATACTCAAATACACAAGTTAGTAAAAAAAAAAAAAAAAAAAAAATTTTAAAGCCAAGGTTTAGAGAATTAAATTTTTATAATATTTTGTGTGTTTGTGTGTGTGTGTGTGTGTGTGTGTGTGTTTGCATGTTAGTACAGGTGTCCTCAGAGACCAGAGGTGTTAGATCCCACTGCAGGTGGAGGAATGAGCAGTTATAACCCACCCAACATGGGTGCTGGGATATTTACATTCTAAAATGTTTGTCATAATAATATTTATGACTAACAAAGAATAGGAATTAAATGCTGAAGGAAAAGAAATATAAATTAAGACACTATGTTACAACAGACTATATTGAAGATGTTAAGAATAACATTTTGACAACTATTTAATGACATGAGAAAGTAGTGCTCATTAAATGAAAAACAATAATATAAAATTATGGGGCCAGGGATATGGCTTGTAGCAGGTAAAAGTATTTGGCACACAAGCCTGACAACTTGAGTTCAATCCCTAGAACTCATGTAAAAAGAGGGGGGTGGCACACATCCATAATCCATCCCTTCATAAGATGGAAAGCAGTAACAGAAAAACAGAAGCTCAAAGGCCAACTAGCCTGGAGGACACCTACACAACAGAAGAGAATCAGCCTCAACAAGGTTGAAGGTAAACTCTGACTTCCACAGTGTGCTGTGACATGCAAGGGCCAGCACTCACACATACACACAAAATGAATAAATGAATAAAAATTTAGATAAATAAAATTTCATATGAATTGTGATTCTAAATGTATAAAAAGAAGTAAGCAAAAAAATAATGATTAAAACTAGATAAAGGATGGGGACTTGTTTGCAGAGGTCCCAGCATCCACATGGTACCTCACAACCACCCATAACTCTAGTTCCAATAGTCTGACACCTTCAGAACTCCTTAGGCACTAGGCATGCATGTACACGGTACACAAACATACACACAGGGAAAACATTCACATATATAAAATAAATAATCCTTTAAAAAAATAGATGGGCCGGGCGGTGGTGGCGCACGCCTTTAATCCCAGCACTCGGGAGGCAGAGCCAGGCGGATCTCTGTGAGTTCGAGGCCAGCCTGGGCTACCAAGTGAGTTCCAGGAAAGGCGCAAAGCTACACAGAGAAACCCTGTCTCGAAAAACCAAAAAAAAAAAAAAAAGATATTTAAAAAAAAAAAAAAAAATAGATGAAGGCCAGGCAGTGGTGGCGTACGCCTTTAATCCCAGCACTCTGGAGGCAGAGCCAGGTGGATCTCTGTGAGTTTGAGGCTAGCCTGAGCTACAGAGTGAGTTCCAGGACAGGCTCCAAAGCTACACAGAGAAACCCTGTCTCAAAAAACAAACAAAAAAAAAAAAGACGAAGGAATCGACACAATACTAAATACAAAATGAATTATCATTACGTCTAAGATCATTGTATTCTAGATTACTTTATTTTCTTCTTTGTACTATTAGTATTCCAAGTCTATAATGATCAGAAATTGCTTTTAATAAATAAAAAAAATGGGCTAACAGGTAAACTGTTTGCCACACAAGCCTGAAACCTGAGTTTGAATCCTGGAACCCATGTAAAGGCGGGAGGAGAAAACCAACTTTATAGTTGTTCTCAGACCTCCACATGTGTACCATGGCACATGGGCCCCCTCAACACATATCATACATACACATAATAATGGTAAGTGAAATAGAAATAAAAT